CCATCGCCGCCATCGCCGATTCAACTTGCACGGTTTCGTTTCATTTTCATCGGACCGCTTTTATTTGAACGGCTCGAGCGCTGAGGCATGTAAATAAACAGCAATATCTCCGTTCGAATCTCCGAGCCACTTTAACTTGGAACGGTCCAAAGTAGTCAATCCCCGCGACCGTGAAAGCGGCGAGTTGAAAAGCTCCAAACGATCATCCGGCAGTGGAGGCGTTATTTGTCTACAAGGCAATGAATGCCAACGTCCGCAATCAAAACAAGATCCGATAACTTGTTTTATTGTAGTATAAGCACATAAAATCTAGTACTTCTCCTACAGAATAGTGCTGGTGTGCGCTACGTCGGTATGGCCATTCGCTGGTGGGTGTATTTAATTAGCAACCGACATACAAAGTGATTTTTTGGTAAAATTATAGGGTGCTTTGTTTCGTAAGATACTAGCGCGGATTAAAGTCGTCCTGCCACGCGTATCAGACCTTTGTCTATAAAGGGTGAAAGACCTTTCAGTGCACTATTCGTAGTCTTTAGCCTGTCGTTGCTAATTCCCGTGTAATCAATGTGAAGGGTTTTAATCTCGTTTTCCAAACACTCTTGCTAGACCAGCATGAAAATATCTTGTTTTGCGCATCCCAGCACAGCACTGATACGATAGTTACGCTGCGGCACTGCATGTCATAGGTACTTCTCTACCATGTATCTTTTAAACAAGATTGGCCACCCCACTCATTTGAGGAGTTTGTTCCAACTATCGCAAGTCGAGAACCTAAGGATCCAATGGCCATTCTCCCCTACTGGGGTCGTCGCAGCCATTGCAGCTACTTCGAGCGAAGGAAGAGCGTTTCCTTTGGGTTCGCGTGGCCAATCATCATACTTCTTTGTTAAGAACTCTGGTAAAACCGGAAAACCATACACCCTTACACAGCTGTCCGCTTCTTGACTCTCTTGATGCCAAGTCAGCTGGGTTACTTTTGGAGTTCACATAACGTCATTGCGAAGGTGTAGACAAATCTCGAATAGTTGATACACGGTTTGTTACGAATATTTCCGGTCGGTTTGAGGTGTTAGGAATCAGTTGTAAGACTACCATGGAGTCGGTCCACAGCGTTCTGGTGTCGATCTCTACCGTCAATTCAAGTTCTATCTGACGCAACAGCTTAACGGCTAGAACCGCTGCTGCGAGCTCGAGTCTGAGAATAGTGATAGCTTTAAGAGGGGCAACGCGCGACTTCCCCATCAAGAATGCTGTGGTCGAAACACCATGCCTGTTACTCATGCGTAAATATACTACCGCTCCATAGCCACACCGTGATACATCTGAAAAACAGTGTAGTTGGTATTGTCTGGTGAGCTCTAGTGTCGTTGGAACCGAGCAACGGTGAATTTTGATTTGAATAATCTCGTAGTTGCTGAACCCAATCTGTCCATCGTTCATTGTGACAATTGTCGGGTTTGTCGTCCCATCCTAGTATCAGTCTGCATGGTTCTTGTAGTACCAGCTTTGCTGGAAGCAAGGTAGGTGCCACAAAGCCTAACGGATCATACAACGAGGCAACGTATGACAGGATTGATCTTCTATTGATAACAGGTTCAGGTGGTTTGATAGTAAAACTGAAAGTATCTGACGTCCTGTTCCACTCGACTCCGAGGGTCCTATAAGTATTTGTTGGTTTCAAGTCCAGACACAAGTTTTTTCCGCCTGGTCTTTAACCGGTACATCGATGAGAGCATCGGCCGAATTGCTACGCCACTTCGTCAGGTGAAAGCCCGATTCCCGGAGCGCTGACTGTAAATGGCTCATCCGATTTGCAGCTAATGAGGAGATCGTCAACATAAAAGGACCTTTGCAGATATTTAGCATGAAATTCTAATGATTGGTTCGTATTATTGGTATGATTCCCAAAGAGGTTGTACAAGTTTCCGCCGAAATCGCATGGCAACGGGCGTTATCTTGGATAGTCACCGGATTCCGTCCTATACTCACTGGCTCGTGCGGGTGCAATACGGGGTGGTGACTCAGTGTACAACGTCCTACACCACAGGTCATGAGTGACCTGCAATTGACGGACTCGTGATTCGGTTTCAGGCATAAATGACACAGTTTTTAACTCCCACGAAGGAAAGCCTCTCAGGCACACTCACCGCTATGAATTTCTCATACTGATCCATGTAATGGTCCCCCTCAAACTGCATACAGCACCTGCGTGCCATTGTCGGCTTAACGGATGGCGCTAGAGTTGTTTGTGTGTGATGCAGTGACACTTTGTGCGGTGCGTTTCGATCGGCGGGGGATCGTGCCTGTAAGTTCGGCCAAATGACAGAATAGGATTGATGAGCCATTTTTACATCATCCCTCTCATCTACAAATTCCTTCAAATCCGAGAAGGTTGGTTCTCGGCCTAGTCGTATGATAGATGCGGCGACCTCAGACCACCTAACATGGAGGGCTTGAAGCAGTCTGCGTACAATTTTCGGAAGCTTTCTGGAAGTATTCAGGTCAGCAACACGATTTAACTGAGGCAGAGTGTTTTGGCAGTTACGCATTTCTCCGGCCAATTTCATCAGCACCATTGGGTCCATGGCTTTATTGACGGGCCCGTCCACGAGGTTATCTAGGTGTGCCCTGGCTATCACGTGGGCTTGGCCAAACCTCCTACGGAGAATTTAAGAGGCACCTTGGTAACCCTTGCTTGGGTCCAGGATCGAACAGCTCTCGATGGCTTCTTTAGTAGTGAATCAAATAGGATAGTCTACACTCGTCATCCATGTCCCGTTTCCCCATGGCACTATCAAAACTTCTCATGAACAAGAAACAACCTTTCCCCGTTACAAATTTGAAAACAGAAGTCAAAAACACAGATTGCACGATGTATCCTGGATCATTTCGCCGCATCTTTACAAAGTGCATACTGCAGTCGAAGTGATTACTTTTATAGCAAAATAAATGAAAGAGATGTTTATAAACAAGGGCAAAATCACATGACGCACACATTCACACATGTCTATCGGATGATCACACAACAATTATTACACCTCAATACCACGGCAATGATAAATTGATTACAAGTTCGCGTTGTTTGCAAAGTTCAGGTTTGTGTGCACGGATCGACAGGGCCTCCATGTATCTTAATAGTTTGGTACTGGTGGTCGAGTAGATCACTTTGAACGCTTGACTTGCATTGACGCAATTTTTAGTCTCGTAAATATGCCGAGCAATTGATGATCTGATTGACCTTTGCTCGGTTGATGATACAATTGTGGTAAAATCGTTGCTCATTGTCTTCTGAAGCCACACTGGAATGTGTTCAGCCATTCGATGACGTAACTGCCTTTCTGTTCTGCCTATGTAGGTGGCTGAGCACTTACATTTGAATTGGTATATGCAGTTTGATTTGGCGTGGATAGGCAAGGGTTCTTTCATCGATGGCCTAGTTAACCGATTAGTTGTGAATATAATCACCGGATCGGCTGCATAGTAGGTGCGGCTGACAGCTGATTTCATGCGTTTTTTGATCAACTCACTTTCATTGTCACCTTTGTAGGAGAGTTTTAGATATACTTTCATCTTAGACACTGTGGTTGAAATATCTTTTCTTGGTTTCAGGTGACGGTACTTTGTTAGGAATGATGTTGGGTATCCATTTTCCGTCATAATTTTAGTGATGTGATTTATTTCTTCATCCAAAGTGTCCGCCGTGCAAATCTTCTGTGCTCTGCAGAACAGTGTTTGCACTGTGTTTATCTTGTACTTTATCGGGACGAAGCTGCTGAGGTGGAGATATTGCCCCGGCCAGGTGTCTTTTCGATAAACGGACCTCCTGATTGAACCATCTTTTCTGCGGAACATTTCAATGTCTAAGAAGCTTATGGTGTCATTGTCCTCATTGTGGATTGCCAGCTTTATATTTGGGTGTAGATTATTAAGCAAGGCATGCAGCTCTTCACCTTCTTGTTTGCTCTTTGTGATGACAAAAATAGCATCCACGTAACGGCGATAGAGTATCATGTCGGATATTTTGTTCTCAATCTTGTTTTCTAAGTGAGCAACAAAAATATCCGCCAGAATAGGGCCCAATGAACTGCCCATGGCAACTCCGTCAATTTGTCGATATCCTTCATTGAGAAAGCGGAACTTCACGTTAGATGTACATAGCAGCAGTAAACGTGTCAATTCGGTATTCGGTAGTCCGATATGAATATTATGCTTGTCGATTATTTGGCATATAAGATTGATAGTTTCTTCAGGTGGAATATTTGTAAATAGTGATGTAATATCCATAGTAAGCATATGTCGGTTCTGGATATTTTCTTTTTGCAATAGGTTACACATTTCGAAACTGTCCTTCATTGCATGGTTCGCAACCGTGTCTCTGACTGGCTTCAGTAACTTGGCTAACCATTTTGCTAGTTTGTGTTGTGGAGAGTTGACCATTGATAAGATTAACCGCATTGGTATATCTGTTTTGTGTACTTTTGTTAGGCCATACAGTTGTGGTGTTTGACTCCCTCTGGGTCTCAGTGACTTGGCTGTTGACTCGCGAATAAGGCCCGCTTGAACTAGAGTTTGCAGTTCCGTGTTAATTCGCTGTTCTAGTTCACTTGGATCATCTGGCGTTGGGTCCTTCCAGAATTTTGTTTTATCTTCTAAAATAGTTAACAATTTTTGCACGTATGACGATTTATCCATAATGACAACTCCCGATCCCTTGTCTGGACGCGGGATTACTATGTTAGAGTTCTTCTTCAACCTGTCGAGAGCTTCAATGTGCCGAGAGAGACACAGATCGTGTATAGTCGGATTTACTGTTAAACCAGGCGGCAGCGTCATATGCTCATTTATACAAACGCAGGTCAATGTCTGAAAGAGGGAAACGGATAAGACAGTGCAAATCACATGAAAGAGTACGACCAAATCAATGTGAAATAAATAAAACCGAATCCTCACATTACCGTCAGATTGGAATAAAGATCAATCACGAATCGCTACTGAGTCCATTAAGAAGACATATCGTCCAATACTTCCTGAACATCAGCATCATCTTCGTCATCATCATCATCATCATCATCATCATCATCATCATCATCATCATCACCATCATCATCATCATCATCATCATCATCATCAACATCATCATCATCATCATCATCATCATCATCATCATCATCATCATCATCATCATCATCATCATCATCATTGTCATTTTTGCTCTCACTCTCCTCTTAACCGTCATCGTAGCGATCGTCTTTCCCATGCTCTTCATGTTTCGCTTCATCTCCAACTAATTATCCCCTCTCTGGTTTTTACCCTCAGAATTTTCGTCATATTTAAATCAGTTTTTTGTGGTTTTTATTTCCATCTTCGAGGGTTTTGCCGTTGATTTGCCCACAACTACAGTTCATTTGTTCGTGATAGGTCACCGGTTTTCGTTGATTTAAATTTATGTTATAATCAGCACTATATCAATTCACTTAAGATACTGCTTTTTTGCGATTTGTATTGTGTGCCGGTTCCGAGACACGTCATCTCATAATGGTACCTTTCATTTGACCGGTATATCCAGTTCAATTACGTCTGATTGTCACATGTTACCTCACAAGTAAAGAAGTACTCTTGTTCAGCAGTTTTAAATGATCGAAAGGTGACTGGATTTCGTTGCTTCCGTGCTTTCCCCGCATTGATAAAGAAAAAGCGAGGGAAATAACAAAAGTGGCTAACTTTGTCAATATTGCAACCTCGTTTTTTATAACTGAAATAATGATATCTGAATGCTAAAGGCTTGATCAGTCAAGCTACATTGAAACCATATCGAAACATGATCTCATCTACAGTTCCCGACGCTTCGAAGGAGATAGCATGAAGTTCTTTGACTGAAAAGGACGCTTATCCAATGAATTCATGGACAGGTAGGAAGCGTAAATAAGTGAAAGTAAACGAGTGACTGGATCATTTACTGTTCATCGAGCTATCATCAAGTTTACCAGTAGTATAGTACATTATTCGCAACTGTTTTGCATCCGTCATATCATCGAAATGGGGAATTACAAATAATACTGCCTGCCTATCGCTCGATATCATTTCTCAAATCCCTTTTGGTTTCGAGGAAATGTTATGTATTTAACTTTTGCATTTGCTCACAAAACTTCAGATGATATCGAAACTTAGAGGAAACGCGTACTCATGGATTCCATAATCCGTGGGTTTTATTTTCCCAAAAGTGTCACCTATACAACAGCGCAAGGACTGAAGCGTGATTTAATATCAACAGGCTTGTGTCCATGCATGAGAGAGCTGATGACTGACCATGACTGTTTCAACCGGAAACAAGACTGAAATTCAGTTAGGAAGTAAAGAGGGCATTTTGGCATGGTAAAGAAAGCAAGAGCAAAGTGAATTATTTTCAAAACTTTGTGGTTAGCATAAAGACCGGCATTACCCATTTTTATTCTGGAAGATTTTCGGCGAAAAGGCTATCTGAGGTTAGGTTTGCCCGACGTAAGTTCAAGTAGGGCTCGTCAAATTCAGGTTGAGAGGAACACTGTTGAACAGACGAATCGATTCTTCCTTACTTTTTTGTTTTAAACCCCGATCTGTGATGTCGCTCTGGTCAGCATTATCGTAACTAACTTTTCTAAATAATTTTATATCGCAGGCGCACACGGTGTTGTAGAAAAGCTCTTATATCTGGATTCTAATCTAGCTCTCTAGCAAGAGATCCATATATTCATGTAGCGAACCAACAAGGAATATTGCCGTTCAGTGTGTTTCCTTCCATTTAGTCTGTTTTTGACGCTTTGCGTGATAAAACGGTGTTCCAGAGCTTTGGGAAAGAAAGCGGTTTTTACATAGTACAAGAAACTATTAGAGCCACACAGTAGGTCGCCCAAGGTTTGTCATATGCTAAGTTTTTTCTCTGCATAGAAGATTTTGAAACTTTCGCGAAACGATCAATAGTAAAGAGCTTCTGTTCGGTTTTCGTCTTTTGAGATCACGGTAGATAAAGTTCATGTTCTGAGAATGTTTCACTTGCGATGCTGAGCAACCGAAAGCACTGACCTTATCCACAGCTTTCCTGATTTCGCGATGAAAGGACGTTCCCCCGAATCGATATCAGAGTCTGCGCTGAAAGTGTCAGTTTCTTCAGAATTCATTTCAAGGTCGTCTTCTGATTGTCATGCGTTTATCCAAAGAAAAATTGCGCGAAGCCTTCCAGTTGACCTTGCTATTCGCTGGAACATCATTTTGTGCTGTATGCTGTAGATTACCTCGAGTTTTTTGTTGAAACTCCTAAAAATAACACCGAATTTCACCCTGAAGAGGAACCTTATGAATGGCTGTGGGACAACGAAAAAGCACCGTGCGGTATGGCAAACGGATATTAGACGGTGTCCTGCTTGAAAATCTCAGATTCGTGTGATACTGTCAAACAGTTTACTTTTGTTGTTGGAGAAAATAGATGATCCTAGGGAAACTACAACAAAGTGAAAGTGCAAAAACCCGGAAGTTTTCTTTTGGCAAGTGTTGGTTGCACAAAGACATGGCGGATGAAACCATGCATATGGATGACATTCAAGCGTTACGTTCAAATGGTTCCATGAGGTTTGAAAATCGTGGCGGCAGAGTTGTTGCTCACGTGAAAATAAAATGGAGCAAGACGATCAAGTCGGTTAATTTATACTCGACCTAGAGGATAAAGTTTCACGTATTTAAATACAATCCATATTTTCTGAACTGGTTCCGATCAGAACTCATTGGTAGCAATTACCCAACCCCGGATTCAATGGCAAATAAGCTCAGAGCATTTTCAGATCTCCTATCGACTTCAGTTACCTTGGATTTAGACGACTGTCTGTGTATACTTGGTGGCAACTCCAACAGATTTATCCAAACGTTCCTACTCACATTCGGATTGACAAATTTATCACATTTATCCACCGGGATTGTTGCTTGTCCAGATTTTATTTTCGCGAACAAAGTAAGTTTATTCGTGGTCCAGCAATGTGTGCCCCTGAGCAGTTCTGCCTATCGAATTCTGAAAGTTTGTCTAACTACATGAAACAAGAAAAAAATGATGCGTATTACTGGGACGAATGAGCAAAATAAATCGACAAAAATAAAGAAACTACTCTTCCGAAAATCGAGCAAATTTACGAGCTGTAGTGAATTTCACAGCCTTTACCATGTTTACAAACAAAATGTCTAGGTTTTTGTAAGAAAATTACTGACTGTCCTAGTTTATGTTTCTAAAATTGCTCTTCACTAGAAATCATCTATTTGCATACCGATCGATTTTCCCCCCACTTAGCCAAACAACTATTCAGAAGAAAGGAAGAGGAGTGTAAAACAGATGTAAATCTGAAGTAAAGCGGACCATCAAGCTCATATAAATGGAGATCAAAAGCCAAAATTGGTTAGGTGGAGATATCATCCTCGGAAACTCCAGTTGTCGGGATAAGCGACGTGGTATACAAAGACTTTGTGGTAATGAATAAAGAACCGGAAACCGTTCCGTTGACGTCGAGGAACCAAATCAATGTTTTGGTTTGCTGTCTCGAGATATCTGTTTACCTATCTACTGAACCTCCTTGAATCGAACCCACGGCCTTTTAGAAGTAAAGGAATACACTAAAGACCAAGAAAGCCTCAAACCCCGATGGTTTATCCTCTGTTGCCCTAAACGTGTGTTGATGCCTTATCTAGTCCTTTGGCAAATATCTCCAATGTTTTCCTCAAAGGCCGTACGATTTCCAACACACGAAAATCTGAAAAGATAGTGTCTGTTCCAAATAAAGCATGCTACACACCACCCCGTTGCGTGAACAGCTTTGATGCTGAAGAAGTTGGAGAAAATTTTCCTACCATATGTTGTCACAAAGAGTGCGTCGGAAGGCATCTACCAGTATGCATATAGGTCGTCTCGATCCACCCTCGATGTCATACCTTACTAGTAGTTTCTATAGCTGCCACTTTACATCAGAAGTGTATTATGGTTAGGATGCTATTTATGTGCTATAAAAATGTTTTCGGCAGTCTCGATTGTTCAGTGTCGCTCGATTTATTATTCGAATCGAAGAGTCAATCAGAGTTTACACAGAAATATTGGTGACTATTTCACTGACCGGACCCAGTTTACATCTGTCAGTGTAATGATATTCTCTCTACTTTCTGTCAGTGATATTGTCTTGCAGGGCGCGGTCATTTTACTCCACTTCTCCTTTTACGTGAAACAGTTATCTAGTACATCTCTATTTATTTCATGTAAATATGCAGACCAGGCCAGAGGTCATTCCGATCATCCAAAACAGACGAGCCATATTGTAAATTGGTCATGCTTTCATTCTCTAACCCTGAATGCATCTACATATTAGGGTGTATCATTTGTTGGCCATCCAGGGGATTGAATCAAGTACATGACTAGCATGTTCCCGCATCATCTACAGTCAAATAGCTCGGCTTTTTACCTACCCACAATCCGTCATGGACGATGCACACCAGTGATGTATTTCGCAAAGTTTGAAAGCTGTCCTTTTTCTCTCTCGTACAAAGCTTACTATCCGGATGTTCTGAAAGCTTTCAAAAACTTGCAACCAGCTGTAATAACCCTTCCCCCCAAGCTCGAATGTTTCTGAGTACTTTTCTGTGGTTTGCTCAGCTAGCACTTACATCCGCTCATGAGATCTACAAACATATCTCTAGATGTTATGTCATATCTAGAGTTACACTTGTTGACTCCATCAAGAACGAACACTTTTTTCCTTGTTATAGACTTACTTCCGAAATTCTGTCTGATTCTCATCATCCTCTACACAGTGAACTAAAAAATGTGTATGTACGTCCTCTACACTCTCAAAGTTCAAACTGCTTTTTACCAGTGCTTCTGCATGTTGTAATTCTGTTTTGCCAACTCTGTTTGGTCTACTTGCTGATCGCATGAAAGTTCTCTCAGAATTGTGCAACAGCATGAATGTTGAGCAATGATCCGTTCCTACTCTTTTCTTCTCATGTTAAAATTTTTCGCACATTACAATATTTTATCCACCGAAATAATGTAAAAGGCTGAAAATCCACTCTTCCAACTGCATAAAGCTACCGATGACTTGACTTGACTTTGAACAAATAAAACGCTGTCATAAGATGCCCTCCAGCCAACGTGCTGGTCACTAAAATAATACTGAACCAGCATTTGAGCAATTCCAGCTTGTAAGATTTGTCGACTGATTT